GTCTTTTTTTTTAACTTAAAAAAATTTTATTATTGTTATTTTATGTGTATGCATGTATTGCCTGCATGTAGGTAAGTGCACCCATGTCGTGCAATGCCTGCAGAGGTCAGAAGAGGCTGTCGGATCCCCTGGGACTGGAGTTACGGACAGTTGTTAGCTGCCATGTGGGTGCTGGGATTCGAACCTAGGTCTTCTGCAAGAACAACCACTGTTCTTAACCACTAAGCCATCTCTCCATTCCTGAGGAGTCTTATATATAGCCAGAGTTATTAATATGGCTCAAAACACCTACTCCTTTTTAATTTGATACACATATCTGTTCCAGTTTCCTTCATAAGGGAAAGGTATAAAGGTATATCTGTTCCAGTTTCCATCATAAGGGAAAGGTGTAAAACCAGAGGTTTTCAGGCTTTAGTGTACATTAGGATCAATTGGAAACCTTTAAAAAATTCTGTTGCCAGGGCTGGAGATGGCTCAGCAGTTAAGATCACTGGCTGCTCTTGCAGAGAATTCGGGTTCAATTTCCAGCACCCACATGACAGCTAATTCCAGGTCCCGGAGAATCCAATACCCTCTTCTGACTCTATCGGCATTGTATGACATGGGTGCACTTACACACATGCAGGCAGTATACTCATACACATTAAAAACAACAACAGCAACAACAACAACAACAGCAACAACAAAACCCCTCCATTGCCTGGGCCACATTCCATACTAATTAATCAGAATATGAGAGGGCAGGCAGGCGCCCAGTTCAGTTTTTTGGTTTTAAAGGTCTTAGGGGCTGGGGTTTATACTCAGTGGTACAGCACTTGCCTAGCATTCACAAGGTCCTGGGTTTGATTCCAGCACTGCAAAAATGAAGCTCTTAGGTGAAGATCCATGTTTAGGCCAGAAATTTAAGGGCTGTCTTCAATTCCTCCATCTCTAACCCATTAAGACTAAATTCTTATCCTACCCCTTTGTTTTCAGCTCCTTAAATGGTGGCTCTTCATGTGTGTTCTATGGACTTAATACACTGACCAACCAAGTCATCCAGGCTTGTTGGAACTTTCCTGGTTTCAGTATGAAAAGTTCTCAGGTTCTAGGAATCCTACTCAGTGGATCACCAGCAACAGCTAGCAACCTGCTAGGAACACAAAACAAGCTCAGGTTCCAGCCCAGAACCCACTGACTCCAGGCTCCCAGTAGTCTGCATCTTCAAAAAAGCTCTCCTGGTGAGTCTGCTGAAGCTCAGATTTGAGAAGCACTGTCCCAGTTTCCTCCAGATCTTCACTGTAAAGATGGGGGCTGCTGCTCTGAGGGGTGGCTGACACTGGGTGGGAACCTGCTCTGTTGTGGGTGCAATCCTAACAGTTTGGGTGATTGATACCTTAGACACTGCAGGGCCACTCTTCCATACTGGGTGAGCAAAGGCCATTTGGCATTATCAGCACACATTTTGAGGATGCTACAATACAGGAGGACATGGTTTCTAGAGGGTAGAAACCAGGGACTTGTCTTCTTTCCGATTTTTCCAATTCCCTTTTTAGGTAAGTTGTGCTCCAAACTAGAGTGTTATGGCAAGCCTGGCAACTACCAGTTCTGTTACCTAAAACCATACACTCAGACTGTAATGAAGTCTGCAGCTGCACATGTGTCCAGGAACTGTGGTGACCCCATCTATACTTTTCTTCACCAAGCTGTAGCTTTAATATTGCTGCTTTCCAGAGCTGATATTTTGTGAAGCCTCACAGGGGCTAAATGACATTTTCCTTTTCCTGCTAAATTTGTTGGTGAGATGAA